GCACCGAAACCCGCAGGAGCGCCGAAAACCCAAGGGGCGCCGAAAACTAAAAGCGCGCCGACAACTCGAAGGGGGCCGAAAACCAAAGGAACGCCAAACCAAAGGGGCGCCGCTAACAAAAAAAAGATCCGAATAACAAGCGGGGCGCCGAAAACCAAAGCGACGCCGAAAACCAAAAGAGCGCCGAAAACCACGGCAGCGCCAAAACAGACAGGACAGGGCCTGCGTCGCGCACCGCGCGGGTGCTGCAGGGCGGAACCGAAGCACCCAGAAAGTGCGAGACTGTGCAAGTCAAACGCCGCACCCGCTCAGATGCATAGGAAACGCCGCCGGAATCACGCGTTTCTCCTTTTGCGTGAAGAGGCACGACACCAACCAGCATCGCGTTAAGAACCCAGTGTCTGGATAAGTCCGCCTCGCTTCGACACCGTCCGCACGAGATGCACGAACGTGGTAATCACGACAACGCCACTTCCCCATGCCGCACTGCATCCTCGAAATATTTTCCGTTGTTTCGCATGCCCTTTCCACGCGAATCGCAATGGTCTTCGCGAGCTGCAAGGGGAAGACGGCAATCGCCATATTGGATACTCCGCTGATTGCTTCGAGGGCAAGCCTTTGCCAATCTTACCAGAAAGTATTTGATTATCTGGCTCGTTTCGTATTAAATTTCCATGGCGGTGCATTCTCGCGCCCGCCTGCGACATTGCGCCTTCTTTCACAATGTATGAATACGCGATGCAGCGATGTGCGTTTTCGCTATTGAATCGTGTTCTGGTTGCCGCCTATGCTCGGGCCCCAGCGGCCCCCGCGCTCCCAGCCCCATGCCACGTGGAAAGTACTTGTCGGATCATCGGGTTTGACGCAAATTCCTTTCGTGGGCGCCTTCAATGACCTTCCTTGCGTGGCGGATTCCTATCAGATTTCTTCTGTTGAAGGTTACAATGAGACTCCGCTTGTGGAAGCTTAAATTAAGACTCCTTGTGACAGAAGAAGAGCGTTCGAGAATTTCCTGGTCGCCCTCATGAAGAAAGCCGGGGGCCAGCAGCTCGTCGGCCAGGCCCCGCGGGGCCCCCTTGAGCGGCGCATCCAGACTCTGCTCGACGAACTCAAGCTCTGAGCGTGGTAGCACACAATGGGTTTTTCAAACGTAGCATGTACGCATATATGCTATACAGATTTTTTAACGTTGCCACACACCCCTCCACTGCTTGCTTTCTCCTCCTCTCTCCTCGCCTCTCTTCCGCGGCTTCTGCTGTTGCGTGCTCTCTTCTTCTCCCGGCTCCGTGGCCTCTCCCGCTCCTCTCGCCCGTCGTTCCCCCCTACTGCTGTCGTTCCCTTGTCGTCGTCGTTGCTGGGGTGTGGCAGGAAAAACGTATGTCTGCGAGTATTCTGGGGCGGCAGCTGCACCGCTGTCGTTCGCCCTTCCCCTCCTCTCCTTCGCCCTCCCCCCTCCGAGACGGGTGCAGCGCCGGCTTCGGTTCGCCCCGGCGCGGCCGCTGACAGACCTGTCGGATCCGGCATTCCCAGGTGGCCCGCTGACGGGGCGCCAGTGCGGCCGACCCCTGCCGCTCCTCCCAGGCCGGGAGGTGCGTGGGAGACGCGGGTGCAATCATGAAGTGCCATCATATAGCGCAGTTCCTCCAGAACTCCAGCAGAGAAGCGGATGCGAACGCTGTTTAGATACCGCGCGCAGACATTCGTTTTGGAGTTCCTTGCGAGGCGTGTGGGTGAGTGGATGAGTGGCGGGTTCCAATAAGATACTTCTTGTGCCGGACATAAATAGGAATCCTTGCGCGGGAGGTTGCAATCGTATTCCTATTGTGGAAGGTGACAATAAGATTTTCTCCGTGGGTAACTACAGTACAATTCCGTGTGTGGCGGATTTCCATACGATTCCTTTCTTGCAGATTACTTTATGACTTGCTTGATGACTTTCGAGGGGGATTTTTTCCGCGGACGATAGCAGTAGGATATCTTTTGTAGAAGGTTACAACGGGAATTCGATCCTCGAGGATTGTATCGGATTCCTTTTGTTCTCCAAATAGGCTTGCCACATACGGATCCTAGCCTAAGCAAGTGGTCTTTAGCCCGCCCCCCCCCCCTTTCCAATGCTCCCGACCCCCTCTGTTTCCAATGCCCCCCCCTCCCCTCTTTCCACTGGCGCGCGTTTGCTTGCAATTGCGCGCTTGCTCTTGGCTGATTGCTCTTGCTTGCCCTTGCTTACTTGCGCTTGATCGCTGGCTCTTGCTTGCTTGTTCTTGCTCGCTTGCGCGTGTTTGCTTCCGCTTGTTTGCTTGCGCTTGCCACCCCCCGCCCGGCTCCCATCCCCCTTTCGTCCTCCTCCGATCCTCCTCTCGCCCTCCTCCTGTCCTCCTATCTATCAGGAGTCAGCGCTCGCTGATATTGAGGATTCCCTTCGGATTCCTTTTGTCGAGGCCCGCATTAGGACTACTTGTGTAGAAGATTTCAATCGGTCTCATTGCGTGGAAGATAGAAGTTCGATTCCTTTCGTGGAGGATTGCAATCGGATTCCTTCTGCGGAGGATTACAATCGGATCCCCTTCGTGGACAATTACACTAAGATTCCTCATGCGGAGGATTACGATTGGACTCCTTCCGTGGAGGATTCTACAAAAAGGCCCCTTTTGCGGGGGATGGCAATCGGATTTCTGCGGGAGAATTACAATGGAATTCCTTCTCTGGACAATTACATAGGGATTCCTTATGCCAAAAGTAATAGCAATATTCCATGCGCGAAGCAAGAAAACGGATTCCGCCCGCGGCGATTAACGCGCGGACGAAATGGCCTGGAGATGTCGCCAGACATTTTGCGCCCGGCGGGGGCTTCCCGGAGATTTCGCGGGAGATTTCGGCGGAGATTTGGCGCAGATGACTGACCCCGGGGGATTCGTCGGGAAGACCCCTCCAAAGATTTCGCCAGGAGCGTCTGCTGCCGGAGGCCCGAAGGAGCCCCCGCGACGCCGCCGGAGATTCCATGGAGGGATTCGCGCAAATTCCTGGGGGGGTCTCTGGGGGCCCTCGAGGTCTTAGCTGACGCGAGCTAACTCTGGGGGCGCTGCTAGTCCCGCGCGCGCCCCGCGTTCTGGTGAAGAAGCAACATGTAAATTGGTTGCGATTTCTTGGCGCAAAGCGGTGTCGCGCTGGGCGCGTCGCTGGTTGCCGCGGTAACCGGCGGCGCGACGTTGTCGGCTCGTTGCTTTTCACTGCCGTCTGCGTGATGATGGTATGGAGACGGTCGTAGTATCTGCGTCATGTCGTAGTCCGTTGTTGCGATTGTCCTTGTTCTCCTGGTCTTCGCCCGCGCGCGGCGCTGCCAGCTCGTCGGGCGGCATATTGCCGATGCTCTGCATGTAGAACCTGTAGCAGCCCAGCGCTCGGTTCTTGAAGACGCGCGTGAGTCGTCTGTGCCCCGCGTGGAATCGTTTGTTTTGTTGCAGCTGAAGCATGTGCCACCAAGTGCCTCGTCTCGTGCGTCGTCTACTTGGGGGCGCGTCTTGGGGCGACGTATTTACCTGTCTTAGATGGTCTTCGAAGTGCGGCCGCACTCGTAGCAAATGTAGGCCGTTGCTTGCGTCGGCGTCCCAGGTTGGCGCCCGGCGTCGCGGCGGCCGATTTGCCGATGCGTTGTCCATGGCTCGGTGCTGGGTTGGTCACTGAAGATCAGATGCCCTCTTTTTTTTGCTCTGTTGACTTGGTTGTTGAGCTGCTTCGGTGCGTCATGTGCGCATTGGGCCCATCTTTTGACGTTCCAGTGTCGTTTGGGGGTCCGCGGGCGCGGTGGTGGGCTGCGCCGAGCGTCGTAGGTCCACGTTGATGGGGTCGGTCCAAATGTTTCGAGTCTCGCGAAAGTGGGCCATGGGTCGGCGTCGTTCGTGGCTTAGGTCAGTCAGTCTGAAAAGAATACGCGGCCTGTGTGTGTAGTGAATTGGGACAAGTATTTGGGCCGTCGTGGCTGGAGCTCTGTCTGGCAGTCAGTTCTGTCTGCTTTGAACAATAACTGCGGGTGGGCGATCTGTTTGTCTGGCTGTTTAAGGTGGCGCGATTGCGCGGCACTCCTGCATGCTTGATTGCGTGCCGTGCTGAGATTTGCTCAGGTGTTCTCTCTTATTGGGTCCTATGCGCCTGCCTTGCAGGAGAGGTGACAGCTGGCGAATGTCTCAGCCATCCTCACTTTGATGTCTGTGCGTGGGTGCATGTGCTTGAAGTGAGTGGCCTTGAATGAAAAGAGTGCTGCTTTTGTTGGGTAACTTGATTGGTCGCTCGCACGGTGGCGCTGCGCGCTGGATAGAAGTGGGTGCCAAGCGCGCATGTGTGTTTTTGTGATGTGTAAGTTCCACGTTGGGCCATAGATGCTGGCGTCTGCGCGTGCAAATAGTCGCCGTTTGGCCTGCATTGTGCCTGGCCCTGCAAGGTGCAGCGCTTGTGCTGACTTGCGTGACCTTTGGTTGAGCATGGAGCCGTAGCTCGTGAGCGCGGCGTGTGTGTCGGTGGCCAAGTCAATCATATGGCATTCCAAAGGGACCGTTGTCCTTGCACTGCGCCATGATGAGCGCGTCGTCGACGAAGGCGATGCTAGTGGCGTGGTTGTATTGTTGTGTGCTGGTGGCTTGGTATTTGGAAGTCTGGGTTGGTTGGGTGCGGGTAGTATGATGGTGTAAGGTTTGTCATGTAGACAATCCGATAGTTGCTCGGGTGGCGCGATGGAGAGAGTAGCTATCTTGGTTACTTGTGGTTGTAGTGCCGAATACTGTCCCCCTGACCACTGTGTGGAATGCTGCTGCGATGTCAGTGTAGTATGTGAAGGCCGTTGCGTTGCGAATCTTGTTGTAGTTAGTGATGAGTGGTTCTGTGTGCGCTGCAAATGATGTGGACCTGCCTGTCAGCCCTCCACATTGCGTAGGTCTCAGAGCTTGCTTGAGAAATGAAATAAGGTTCTGCCTGAGACAAGTGTAGCGCAGTTTAGGTCTCTCTGCGGCTGAAAGTATGGAAAGGTATTGGAAAGCTTTGGTTGCGGTACCTTGGCCCCTGTGTAGTGGTATGGTTGTGCCGTGCGTCCAGATAAGTGGTTCTTGCGGGAGGAGTGATACCTTGAACAATAATGGGTGCACGTGTCTGGCTGTGCTGGTTGGTGCTGATTTGGATCGGCCGGTCGTGACTATGTCTACTCCTGGTTGCTTGCGTCGCTTGACTTTTCTGATCGTTGTGGTCACTCTTGGCAGCGTGATGACATTCTCGAATGTGGAGGGTGTGATGGGAATGTTGATGTACTGTAGCAGACGGTGAGCATGTCGTTGTTGTCAGTAAGTCTGGCTTCTTCTTGTTAGGCAAACTGTTGAATGAACTCGTTTGCCTGCTGCTCGTCGCTCACGAATACGTTTCCCCCTGCGTCTGTGACATATGGCATGCTTCGTGTTTTGTTGCCCTGTGTTTTTGCGTTTTGGGCCCGTATCGTAGTGCTGCTTTGGCGTATTGCAATGCTGCCGTGTGCTCATGTAAGTCGTGTAGATGCTGGAATTGGTTGGGTAGTTGCGTGATGTGGTTCGCTCTGTCTTGCTTGAGTTGTATTGCGAATGGTGTTCTCGTTGACTTGAGGAAGGTGCGGACGGCCATAAGTGGGTCGATGTGCTGGTCGTTGCTTGCTGCGTATAGTGCTAAGTGTAGTTTTTTAGATGCGACGGTCTGTGGTTCTGCCAGTCGTGTACTTCGTAGGCTGATTGTTGAGCTTGCGGAACATGATTGCAGGTGTAGTTCTTCTGTCCTGTCGTAGTACTGTTGTGGCTTCACGCCGTAGTCTTATGAGCTTCATGGTCTCGTTCATAATGCATGGGTGTCGTGATGTGAACTCGTCAGCTGCGAAACACGATGTGGCTGCTTCATGTAACGTGTCGGATGTCTGCTTGTGGTGGTCGCTAACTGCTGTGTCCCATGTCGGTAGTGTCTGTCCTCCTCCTCCTCCTCCTCCTCCTCCTCCTCCTCTCCCTCGTCCTCCTCCTCCTCCTCCCCATCCGTTCCCTGGTATTTCTCCTACCCCTCCTCCTCCTGGCAGGCTGATGGACCCAGACATCCGACGATGTGCCGCCCAGCTTGTCGCCCCAGATCAGCGCTTGATGACGGGCCCCACGGGCCGAGATCAGAGACGAATGCAGGGATTGACCCCAAAAACGCACTGTCGGATGCCTGGGGCGGAGGTGATTTTCGGGCCTTCCCCTTCCTCTTCCACATCTTCTTCCTCGTCCTCGTCCTCTTCCTCGTCCCCCTCCTCCTCGCCGTCCTCCTCCTCCTCCTCGTCATCGTCCTCCTCCTCCTCCTCCTCCTCCTCCTCCGCCTCCGCCTCCTCCGCTTCCTCGTTCCGGGCGATCCCAGGCACCCCCAGACCGCTTTCGGCAAGGCGCACCTGATGGAAAGCACCCCGAGGCTGGGAAACCTCCGGGAACCGACGAAAACGTTGCGACGCCGACGAAAACGTCGTGGGAAGGTCGTCCGGATTTCCGCCGGCCCCCTCGTGGGGCCAACAGACTGCGCGGCTGAGGTCTCCTGTAACATGCTCCAGCTCCAACTTCCAGCATCCAGTGTTGTAGCTCCACTTTCTGCCTCCTGCTGTAGATGGTTGCTGTCCGCGCGAGGGGGGGGTAACCGACAAGGAACCGTTGACCCCCCCCCTTGGGATTTACGGCAGGTTCGTGCGGCGTCGGCGCGTGCAAAAATTTTTGACACCGCGTCGATCGTTCAATCTTGAACCGATCGCGGCCCCGACCGTTCAAGGTTGAATTCCGTCGGGTTTTGAGGCGTTACGTTACCCTGCCCCTCAGTGGTTCCACGTCGTTCTGTCATGCGGAGTTCAACCTTGAACGCCTTCGCTGGCGTCGCCAGCGCGCCATCGCCGCATGAACCTACTGCAGCAGCAAAACTCATCGTCGGATATCTGGGAACGGGAGGGCGCCCAGTTTTGAGCAGGGACCGACCGTCCCGGCATTCCTATAGTCCTACCACGAAATGTTCTTGGAACCCAAAAATGTTCTAAGAATAAAAACTATGTTCTTAATGTGTTAAAACAAACAAGACAATCCCATCCAGAAATGTTCTAAGAACATTTCATGGGAACCACAAAAGGTTCTTAGAACATTGTTTGGTGGGGCTATCAGCGAGCCGAGACGCTTCGCCACTGCTTGACAATTCGCGCTCCTTCGGCCGTCCCGCCGCCGGCGGTGCAGACGCTGCCCCGGCCGCCGGCGCTGGGGGGGGGCGGCGCGTCGAGCGAGCTGCCCTCCTCTGGCGCGAGAGCGGGGCGCAGGAGGAGGAAGAGGAGGATGGGGAGGAGGACCAGCGCAAACCCAAGAATCATCAACGATGTTGGAACAAACCATTCCTCCACGCTCCCTCTTCATAGACCCCTACAACGGTTCATTCCCACTGAAGAAACTGCCTCGTTGGAAGACAACCGTTGGAAGACCCTGAGGCATGCCAAAACATTATATCCTCGGGACTCCAACGCCACGGATTATCCTAAGTGTTGCGTGCTGACGACCCTGAATCGTGCCAATCTTGGGACTTCACCACCGCGAATCAACCTAACTGTGACACCTCGCAATTCTGAATCCTTCGAGAACACAATTTCTGGTACGTGAATCATGGGAATCCATGAGGTGTTCTGAATGTTTGCTGCGAGTGTGCGCAGCGCTGAAACGAAAACCACACTTTGAAAACGAGCCGCCCTCAATCCGCGAAGCTCTTGGAAGCGAATGCGCACGGCGCGAAGGCGAGAACCACATTTTGAAAACGAGCCGCCCTCAATCCGTGAAGCCCTTGCAACGCTTAGCAACGAACGTGCGCAGCGCTGAGACGAGAACCACAATTTGACAACGCCCCGTCCTCAATCCGTGAAGATTTTGCATGTTTGTTGTTAGACGAGCGCGCGCGGCGCGAAGGCGAGAGCCACATTTTGAAAACAACCCGCCCTCAATCTGTGAAGCTCTTGCAAAAATCAAGAATCAAGGCGCGCGGCGCTATAGCGAGAACCAACACTTGAAAACGAACCACCCACAGTCCGTGAACTTCTCGTGAACTCTTTAAACGAACGTGCGCGGCGCTTGAGCGAGAACCGAATTTTGAAAACGAGCCGCCCTCGGTCCGTGAAACGTTTGCAGCGTTTAAAAACGAACGTGCGCGGCGCTAAGGCGAGAGTCACATTTTGAAGACGATCCGCCTTCAATCAGTGAAACTCTTACAACTGCTTAAAAACTTATGTGCGCGGCGCTAAGGCTAGAGCTACATGTTGAAAGCAAACCGCCTTAAATCCGAGGAGCTCTTGAAAAACGAATGCGCGCGGCGCTGAAGCGAGAGTCACTTGTTCAAGACCACCCGCTCTCAATCCGCGAAACTGTTGTCACTTGTAAAGGCTCAAGGTCATTCTCCAATCAGAGCTTGCCTCTGTAGGGGTCCTAGCGGATTCATGTGGTTAGGTTAGGCTCGTCGCCGATTTTCGCGGCACGCCCGGGTGCCCTGGTGCCCGGGGGTGCCCGGGGGTGCTCGGGGGTGCCCAGGTGCCCGGGTGCCCGCGGGTGCCCGGGCGTGCCTGGGGGTGCCCTGGTGCCCGGGTGCCCGCGCGTGCCTGGAGATGCCTGGGGGTGCCCACGGGTGCCCTATAACCCACTAGCCCAATAGCCCTACAACTCTATAGACCTATAGCTCTATAGCCCTATAAATCAATATTCATAAAGTTAGGTTAGGTTTGCCGCCGATTTTCGCTGCACGCACGCCCAGGTGCCCGGGTGCCCGGGGGTGCCCGGGGGTGCCCGGGGGTGCCCGGGTGCCCGCGTGTGCCCAGGTGCCCGCGGGTGCCCGGGCGTGCCTGGGGGTGCCCTGGTGCCCGGGTGCCCTGGTGCCCGGGTGCCCGCGCGTGCCTGGGGGTGCGTGCGGGTGCCCGGGGGTGCCCTATAGCCCTATAGCCCAATAGCCCTACAACTCTATAGACCTATAGCTCTATAGCCCTATAAATTCCCCAATCAGAGCTTGCTTCTGTAGGGGTCCTAGCGGATATAAAGCTGAGGTGAGGTCGGCGGCCGATTTCGGTGGCCGGGGCCGGGTGCCCGGGTGCCCGGGGGTGCCCGGCTGGCCGATTTCGGTGGCCAGGCCCGGGTGCCCGGGTGCCCGGGGGTGCCCGGGTGCCCGGGGGTGCCCGGGTGCCCAGGGGTGCCCAATAGCCCAATAACCCAATACCCCTATAGCCCTATAGCCGTATAGCCCTATAGCCCTGTAGCCCTATAGCCTTATATCCCTATAACCCTAATAGCCTTGTATCCCTATAGCCCTATAGCCCCATAGCCCATACAGCCCTATGGCCCCATAGCCCTATGGCCCTATAGGTCACAGTCCTATAGCCCTATAGCCCGATAGCCCTATAGCCCGATAGCCGTATAGCCCAATAGCCCTAACAAAAATCTGATTGGGTTTTTCTCCGGTATCATCCATATTCATAAGGTTAAGTTAGGTTTGCCGCCGATTTTCGCGGCACGCCCAGGTGCCCGGGTGCCCGGGGGTGCCCGGGTGCCCAGGGGGGCCTGGGGGTGCCCGGGTGCCCGCGGGTGCCCGGGCGTGCCTGGGGGTGCCCTGGTGCCCGGGTGCCCTGGTGCCCGGGTGCCCGCGCGTGCCTGGAGATGCCTGGGGGTGCCCACGGGTGCCCTATAACCCACTAGCCCAATAGCCTTGCAACTCTATAGACCTATAGCCCTATAGCCCTATAGCTCAACATTCATAAAGTTAGGTTGGGTTTGCCGCCGATTTTCGCTGCACGCACGCCCAAGTGCCCGGGTGCCCGGGGGTGCCCGGGGGTGCCCGCGGGTGCCCGGGTGCCCGGGTGCCCGGGCGTGCCCGGGGTTGCCTGGGGGTGCCCGGGGGTGCGCTATAGCCCAATAGCCCTATAACCCTACAACTCTATAGCCCTATAGTTCTATAGCCCTATAGCTCAATAGCCCTATAGCCCCCTAGCCCTATAGCCCTGATTGGGGCTTTTCTCCGGTATCATATATGATAAGGAAGTCTCAAGCGAAACGCCTGGCCCGCCCTAAAAACAAGCCTCGGGATGCGACAGGCAACAACTAGTCACAAGGAAAAGGAATGTAGGAGGAGGAGGAGGAGGAGGAGGAGGAGGAGGAAGGAAGAAGAAGAGGAGGAGCAGGAGGAAAAGGAATACTTCTTCATTCATAAGGAAAAGGATGAAGAGGACGAGGAAGAGGAGGATGAGGAGGCACAAACTTAAGCTGTTAAGGGGGGCGACCCCGTTCGCATGCAGTGGGACAAAAGGGGGAGCGACCCCGGCATGGCCGGGGGCAGCTGGGTCGGGGCGGGGCCCCTATGCCTGGCTCTCGCCGACGCAGCTGCACTGTAGCCGCGGCGGATCCGCCCTTCAAGATGTTGCGCCGTCCCCACTCGCCCCGCGGACCGCGGGGCATCGTGATGATCGTCATGTAGGGGTCCTCCTCCAGCTGCTGCCTCCTCGCGGCCTGCCCCCCCATCCTGGCGGCGCCGCCCCGGCCGTCTTCGAGGCCCAGGGGGCTGGCCGCACTTGTAGCCGAAGGTGGCGGAGGCAAGCAACGCAGAGCCAAACTGGCCGCAAAAGAGCTGCTTCAGCAATGTCTTCCCTTTGGGTAGTTGCCTCCTTCTGGCAGTGAAGCCCGCCGTGCTGTCGAGAGACTTCGACTCCATAGTGTGCTGGTCATCGCGCGCGGCCTTGATATTCTTCGCGCGTCTGGAGCTGGCCATCCTGGCGGATTTGCCGTTATTCCAATCGATCTCGTTCGGATTATCGAAGGCCGTCTCCGTCGCCATCGCCTCTGTCGTCGGCATCGCCACCCCCGCCTCTGGAAACCTCGCCGCGTCGAAAACGTCGCTGGACCCGCCCAACGCGAGATGGGCCTGGAACTCGGGGCCGAAGGCGCTCGGGCCCGAGAAGTCCAGTGGGCCGCCCAGGTGGCCGCCACTCGTCTTGAAGAGTGGCACGGCGTTGGCACCGATCACGGCAAAGTCGGCGACCGCGTTCGCCGCGACGATCACAACTCCAAGCTCGGACTGCGTGCCCTTTGAGATCAGCGGGAGGCGCCTTGATCGAGCTCGGCGGACTCGATCGCGAAGGGGTTGCTAGAGGCGCCTGCCGGCGCGTCTTGCACCGCATCGCTGTATGTGTCCCCGCCGAGGCCTCGAAACTTGGTCTGCTGGGGCCTTGGAACCGCCCTGAGCCCCCTCGCCTGATGCTCCGTCTCGCGCCCGATCCTCCAGGGGGCGCCGCGCATTGTCATCTGGCAGGCCGCGTCGTGCACAGCTGCGCCAGGCGGGCCCGCGGAACCCGACCCGTAGACCCCGGCGCCGCCGGGGGAACAGTTCGTCACCAGTGCCTGAAACGCCCCGTCCTCAGGCTGCTGCGGGGGCCGCGCTCGCCGAGCGCCATCAGGTAGATCAGGTGCCGGGCCAAGCGGTGCTGGTCCACGCTGAGCCTGGCAGCGTCGCTCGCCGACCTGATGAGGGAGTGGCCGCAGCCGTGCGCCGCGGGGCCGCCGCCCACGAACTGCGCGAGTGCGCAACCGCTGAACATCCCAACCCTGATCTTCTCGCTGCCCAGGGGGGGCGTTCTCCAGGTCGAGACGTGCTCCTCGGTCTGGCACCCCTCGCGCGAGACCTCCTCGGCCGCCGGGGTGCCGCCCTGGTCCTCGTCATCGGGCGGCGCCTTCACCTCAGTCGCCCTTCTGGTCCTCGCAGTCACCGCCGCACGCAGCTGCTCGGTGCCATTCAGGTCGCAGGTGCCTGGCTGCGGCGCCCCCAAACCTCGCCTGCCGCCGCCCGCCCCGATGCCGCCGGGATCCCCCAGTCAAAGATGAGGCGGCCTCCAGGCGTGAACAGCAGCACCGCCGCGAAATTCTTCCAGAGCTCCTCGCCGCTGCTCCGGCGCTCCCCTGCCACGTGGATGCCGAGCTGCTCGGGCAGACACCTGTGGCAAGTCAAATACCTGCGCGTCGCATTCGCACCCTTGAACATCCCAGGGTCCGCCTCTAGCGCGCGCCTGCAGGGCTCCGTCATGACGGGCGGCGGCCGCCCTCGTCTCCTCGGTAGTCCAGCGGCTCCGCCCGCGCCGTCAGCGCTGGCCTCGGGGGTCTCGTCGCCGCTCTGGGCCTTCCACTTGCCGCGCGGTTTCGCCTCGGACTTCGGTCGAGCTCCGAGCCCCGAGGATGATGGCGAAGCCGACGCCGCGTACACCTCTGCGATCCTAGACTCGCCGAC